CGGTTCCGCGTCTGGGCTGGGGCTGGTACCGTTTTGCCGGATAGCTTCTGCCGGTGACATAAGCTACAGGGTCCTTAGTGCCCTCACGACCTGTTGAAACTACTTATGTCACGGACTACAGCCCCCTCCTTATCACGACCTAGACGCCCACATTACCACTGCTCCCAGCTACCCATGGCAAAGGACAACAATCACGACCGTACTGGCTCCGAGTAGCACCCGGGTCCCTTATGATCCGGACTTGGACTCCCCTCCGTTAGACTGCCCCTCACTTCTTTTGGCGACCTACATCCCATCTGTGCCATCTCATGATCTCGACTGCAATCCCTTCTCATCCAACAGAAATCCCCCATCTATAAGTTCTTTCCCCGATCAAGACCAAGACTCCCTCATCTCATCTTAGGAATAAATACCTCCTTCCTGATTACAATAGGTCCCTCCATTTCCACTGTGCACCTCCTGATGGCGTCCATCAGGACTCCCCCATTACACTCAGACTCCCCCCTCAAGGAACTCTTAACTCCCCCCCCATAACCCCTTTCAATCTCTGCCCTCCAAGGTCACGGGGACTCCCAATAGCCCCTCTTTAACCTGCACCTGCCAGTTTCTGGCAAGAGCAGGTCTCTATCAGGAGATTTGGCATCGAGGCTGCATGTCTGAGCACCGCCACCCTACCCCCCACTTACGTGACTCAAGGTCAGGGCCCACTCGTGCCTTGAGACAAGGCCCTTCCCCGGACCTGTTCCCACCCCCGGAATTATCACCCCTTGGGAGGCGGAAGGCCTGGGTCCTGCCTGGCACTGGCTCAGCACTAGCTCTGCTTGGGCTGAGGCAGTGACCTCCGAAGAGTCCCTTCCCCTCTCCCTGATGGCATTTGTCACCTATTGAAACCCAATCCTGGGCCGGACACACAGTAGGCGCCCAATAAGTGAATATCATTAAATCAACCAAAGAGGGTGAGGGAAGGGAAAGCAATTTTACAAACAGGGAAGGACTATCTATGTCCATGTTAGATAAGTTAAAGTGAGCATCCACGGTGTATCAGGCCCTGTGCTGACTGCTTTTACCTGTTTGATTTCATCCAATCCCCTCAACAGCCTTTGAGGTGGATGTGATTCAAGCCCATTTTACATAGGAGTAAAAGTGAGGCCCAGAGAGGGGAAGTACCCCAAGTATGTTTGACTCCAAAGCTGTGCTTTCAGAGATGCTCTGTGTCTTTAGCTATGAAATGACAGTTCTGTCAAGGTCTCCCGCCACCCAGTCCACTCCATGACCCTTGCTTTCCAGGGATGTTCACTTATCTCCACTTTCAGACTTGGCGGAGGAGCGGCCCGGGAGAACTGCGCAGGCGCTTCTCCGAGCCCGGAGCCCCGCCCACAGGGCACAGTGGTGTGCGTGGAGAAACTCGCCGAGCCCCGCCTAATCGTCCATACGCAGGCGCAGGAGCGCGTGCCCTCCGCTTTCGGCTCTGATTGGCCGCCGCGGGTAAGGGCAGCGCCCAATGGGAGGCGTGGATAGTGAGGGGGTCCCTCACGCCTGGAGCGGAGGGTCTGTGTCAAGAGCGGCGGGGGCTGCAGGAGGCGAGAGAGACGGGTGAGGGCGCCGCGGGGCGGGCCGGGGAAGAGAGAGCTGGGTTTACGGAGAGGGCGGAGGGAGAACGAGGGGGACCCCGGGGGTCGAGGAGCCTTGGGGCCTGCGCTAGGGCCGGAGCGACGCGGAGTGGAAAGAGAGTGCTGCTTCCTCTGTGCCCTGAACCGTTGATAGAGCGCCTGAGGTGTGCAGGACCCTACGCTTGAGCTCGCGCGGCCCCCACCGTTTGCAGGGAACTCTCAGGTTGCGTAGTTGATAAGTCTGGTCAGAGAAAAGGGATGTGTCTCAGGAAAGTTGAACTTCCAGGGCCCTGGTGGGTTCTTTCCTGGAAGGACTTTTATTGGTCTACTGTATAACAAAAACCCATCCTTCCCCCCAATAATTCACAATCCAAGATTGGGAAATGGGGAATGCAGACTAGGAAAGTCCAAATATCAGGTCCTTCAGGCCATCTTCTAGACATTTACTGGGTGCCTATTTTGTGTAAGCCTTGCACCAGGCACTGGGCCTCGCTGGAGGGGAGTTCTCTGTTGGGAGTGGTGCTGTAAACGATGCAAAGTTGAACTGTCAGGCCCCTGGTTGACTGTTTCCAGGAAGGTCCGTTATTGAATGGCTTTTGTGTGCCAGGGCCTGAGCAACTCAAAAATTAGTGAGGGAGTTGGAAAGTTTAGCTCTTGGGCTTTTAGTGAATCATTTACTTAAGGAGCCTTTACTGGAAAGCAGCTGATAGATAGCAGGGCCCTGTGCTGGGCCTTGTTATTGTGGGAATTCACAGTCTAATAGGAGGGCTGGTCTGATGGGAAAAGTGGAATGTGCACAAGGACAGTTCAACTCTCCGGGCCACACTTCCTGGAGGGAGCATAATTCATTCACCAAATCTACTCAGTGCTTATTATGGTGAGACCTCTGGGAGCTAGCTAAACGTGAGCCACTTTTGTGTGCAGAGCTGTAAGCTGAGCTCCACCTGCCCTCTGGCACTGACAGATGAGTTAAAGAAGAAATGGAGGTGGTGGGGATTATATTTGGAAAATTACTGCTTAGGCCTGCATGGGCGGCAGTCATTTGCTGTAGGGACTCTGAGCCCCTGTTGTGTGAAGGGGCCTGCGTTAGGTTGAGCCCACACCTGTAGAGGGAGAGGTGGGGCACGTAGAGGGAAGTTCAAAAGTTAAAATCCCTGTCCTTGGTCAGTGGCTTTGTTGGTGACAGCAGCCCCTACAATAAATCAGACCTGCCCTGCTGGCAGGCTCAGTCTGGTGAGGAGCACAGACTCTGTCCCAAGTTCATGATATTTGCTATGATGGAGGTGGCACGGTATACCGTAAGAACCCCAAGGAGGAGGGAGTGGCCACCACCCTGTGGATGTAGAGTTTGCTAGAAAAGAAGAGAGAACTTCGTTGGCAGAAGGAATAGCAGCATCAAAGACTTAGGGTTCAGAAACAACACTTCTGGAGAATTACAAGTAATGGTTCTATCTAAGCTTTACAAAGTACCAGGGACTTTGTGGTCAGTACTACCTTTAGTCCATTTCACAGATGAGAATGCAGTCTCTGAGAGATGAAGTAAGTGGTGGAGCTCAGATTCAACCCAAGGGCAGTCTTGTCCAGAGCCTATGCTCTTAAGCACCTTGCTACATCTCTCTGTGTACAAGTAGATAGAGGAAAGATGCTGCACAGAGAGGAAACTGCACAGGCCAAGGCCAAGAGACCCCAAAAGACACATTCTGTTCTTGGAAAGGGTGTGGCCAGCCCTCTGGGTAAGGAGGGTGGCATCAGAGGCCAGACTGAGAAGGGCTGTCTCTCTTCTGCAGATACCTGGCTGCCATGGGGTGCAGTTCAGCTACAGGGTCACAGGCTCACTGAAGACTGAGATATAAATATTGGATCCAGACTTGCTGATTGTTAGAGGCTGGTGAGTGATGGGATGGGCAAGGGAACTCCTGAGACATCCCCCCTCCCCTTGAGTTCCTGGTCTCACTAGGCACTCTCTTCTTTCTCCAGGTGCTGCCTTTCGCACAATGGCAGAGGTGGTGGCTGAGGCAGCTGAAGTGGCTGAGATGCCAACACAGATGTCACCAGGGGCGGTGGAGATGTCAACACCAACGTTAGGGGAGAAAATGGAGATGTTAACGGCGGTGACTGAGATGACAGCTGGGGAGGCCCTTGCCTCATCCCTCTTCTTCCAGTTCATGTGCTCTGAATGTGGCAGCCTCTACAACACACTGGAAGAAGTCCTGTCACACCAGGAGCAGCATGTGCCCACTGTCACAGAGGAGGAGGCGCTGACCACCCAGGACACCGGCCTGGAGCCGGAGCTGGTGCCAGGCACTGAGGATGGGCCTTTCCAGTGCGGTGAGTGCAGCCAGCTCATCCTCTCCCCCAGCGAGCTCCTGGCCCACCAGGATGCCCACCTGCGGGAGTCTGCAAGCCAGATCCAGTACCAATGTGGAGACTGCCAGGAGCTGTTTCCCTCGCCTGAGCTGTGGGTGGCTCATCGGAAGGCCCGGCACCTTTCTGCTGCGGCAGCAGCTAAACCTCCGGTGCCGCCTCCTCTGCCTCCCCTCCCCTCCCCACCTCCACCCCCTGCTCCACCCGAAGTCAAGATGGAGCCCTATGAGTGTCCTGAGTGCTCTGCCCTGTGTACCACCCCTGAGGAGTTCTTGGAGCACCAGGGCACTCACTTTGACTCCCTAGAGAAAGAAGAGCACAACGGGCTAGAGGAGGAGGAGGAGGAGGGTGAGGCTGAAGAAGGTGACGACGAAGAGACAGAGGATGAGGAAGAGGCAGCAGCAGAGGTGGGTGATGATGCTAAGGGAGCTGACAAGTCCACAGCCGGCCAGGCCCAGGGCTGTGGGGATTGTCCTCAACGCTGCACCTCAGCAGGGGCACCCCGGCGCCACCGGCGGGCGTCCCGTGGCCCAGCATCAGCAGCTCACCCCTTCCACTGCAGCCAGTGCCAGCGCAGCTTCAGCTCGGCAAACCGGCTTCTGGCTCACGGGCGGGCCCATATTGGTGGCACACACGAATGTACGACCTGCTCCAAGGTCTTCAAGAAAGCAGCCTCACTGGAGCAGCATCTACGGCTGCACCGCGGCGAAGCCCGCTACCTCTGCGTGGACTGTGGCCGTGGCTTCAGCACAGAACTCACGTTGGTGGCCCACCGGCGGGCCCACACCGCCAACCCACTGCACCGCTGCCGCTGCGGCAAAACGTTCAGCAACATGACCAAGTTCCTCTACCACCGGCGCACTCATGCCGGCAAGAGCGGGGCACCTCCCATGGCGGTGGCGGCGGCGGCAGTGGCCGCCTCCCCGGCTCCTGCCGAGCCCACGCCCCCCCCACTGCCCCCTGCCCCACCTGCCCAGCTGCCCTGCCCGCAGTGCACCAAGTCCTTTGCCTCTGCCTCCCGGCTCTCCCGGCACCGGCGCGCGGTCCATGGGCCCCCTGAGCGGCGACACCGCTGTGGTGTCTGCGGCAAGGGCTTCAAGAAGCTGGTCCATGTGCGCAACCATCTGCGGACGCACACGGGCGAGAGGCCCTTCCAGTGCCATTCCTGTGGCAAGACTTTTGCTTCTCTGGCCAACCTCAGCCGCCACCAGCTGACCCACACGGGTGTGCGTCCCTACCAGTGCCTGGACTGTGGCAAGCGCTTCACGCAGAGCTCTAACCTGCAGCAGCACCGGAGGCTGCACCTGCGGCCAGTCGCCTTTGCCCGTGCGCCCCGCCTCCCCATCACCGGTCTCTACAACAAGAGCCCCTACTACTGCGGGACCTGCGGCCGCTGGTTCCGTGCCATGGCGGGCCTGCGACTGCATCAGCGGGTCCACGCCCAAGCTCGGACGATGACACTGCAGCCTCCCAGATCACCCCCTCCTGCCCCGCCCCCGCCCCCCGAGCCTCAGCAGACTATTATGTGCACCGAGCTCGGGGAGACCATTGCCATCATCGAGACATCCCAGCCACTGGCACTTGTGGACACGCTGCAGCTGTGCCAGGCGGCACTGGGGGCCACTGAAGCGAGCGGGCTGTTGCAATTGGACACGGCCTTTGTGTGACACAGCTGAAGAGCAACAATAAAAGAGTTTGGTTGCAGAATCAAGTGTGGGCACCTCACCGGGTGCCAGCATTCACCCACCCTGGCCTCTTACCCACTTACTCCTCAGAATGGCCCCACCAGGCGTCACCTTTTTCTGCCTGAGGGGACGCTGAAGCTCTGAGACATGATATGATGTGTCCCGGTCACCCCACTGCGTTGCAAAGCGGGGTTCTGCAAGGCTCTTTGCATCACCCTGGTGCCCAGCAACATCAGGTAACCTTTCCTGAGCCCCAACCATGTGCCAGCTCTGTGCTGGGCCCTGTCACATACCTCTTCACATCCTCTGCTTGTCCCCCCAGCCCTAGCCTTCTCTGGACTCTGGGCTCCCAGGATTTGGCTCTGCCTGGTGGAAGAAGGCCCTTGACTTCTCTGGGCTTCCTTGATCTCACTTTTGACAACGTGGAGGGCAATCTGTAGGTACCTTGGTATTCAGCTGCAGGTGGGTGATGTTGGAAACCCAGGAATGAGTCAGACATGGACTCTGCCCCAGGAGCCACGCAGTGTGGTAGGAGGAACACCCACAAATACAGATGGCCTTGCTCTCTGAATGTTTTGTTGATTTATTCAGCCTGGGTGTTCTAAGGCCTCCCTCCCGTGTGCTGGGGGCCAGAGATGAATCAGGCCTCTGCCCTGCCCAGGTCGGGGCAGATGGATCTCAGCCCCAGGACCCTCAGAGCTGCAGCGGGGATGTGCAGGGACAGTAGGATCCCAGAGCAGGGAACAAACCTCCATGGTAGGTCAGGAGTCAGAGACTTCCTAAAGGAGTTAATCTTTGAAGAAAAAGTAGAAATCTGCTAGTGGAAGACGAAGAAAATATTCCAGGCAGGCAGCACCGCAAGGAGGGTGAGTTCTTGGTATACTTGGAGGTCGTCCAGTTATTGACAACTACAATAACAGCAAACATTTGACTGCCCGGCCATGGCAGGCACTGCAGTTAGCACTATACATGTATAATGATCTCAGCAGGCCTGTGAGGTGATCTCAGTATTATCCCAAGTGAGAAAACGGAGACAGAGACTCACCCAAGATCTCATAGCTGGGCAGGGGCATTGGCCAAGATTTGAATCCATATGGTCCTTTTAGCCCATATCTGTAACTGATACAGCTGTGAACTGATTGTGACGTGAAACCACTGCAGGGGGCGGGGGCTCAGAGGAGGAGTCATGGTAACTGGAGGAAAAGTGAGCCATTGTCACAGAGCAATTGGGGTTTAAGGGGCCTCAAAAGATAAAAAGTCTTGGCAACAGGAAGGAATCCCCAACTTTTTCAAAGGTTACCTGGGTTGACAATCCTTCCCTCTCCAAATGAAAGTAGATGATTTATGGCAGGTCCATCGGGAAGGCTTGTCTCAGGCCTCCGCAGACCAGGGTGCTCAGACAGGTGCAGCAGGATGTGGCTGCAGCTGAGCTGTCTGGGAGGGAGGCTGGGCAGAGGAGGGGCGACAAGGCAGGGAAGGAGGGAAGCCTAGACCTGGGAAGGCCTTGAAAGCCAGGCTAAGAAGTTCGGGCAGTGTGGGGGGTGGGATGGGGTGAGGGTCATAGGTGGGGTTAGGGCTCCCTGGCATCAGGGTGGGGCAGGGGAAACTGGAGATGGTCCGGGAAGTAGAGGATGGAGCCAGACCTGGGCAGAGGCCATGGGGGTGGGAGGAGGGTGTAGGGCATCCTCAGTGACCTCATGGCCCACTGGGTGTGAGCAGCCTGAAGGGGTCCCCAGGAGCCCGAGGTTAGCCCCTTGTCCAGACCAACCCTCCCTCTCTTACCCAGTCCACTTGCTGTATGTGTTCATCCTACAGACAAGGTGACATCTGGATGGTGTTGAGCAGGGCGGGCCAGGGTTTGCTCTGGGCAGTATGCAGATGCCCCTGGGGCTTGCCTACGCAGACAGCGGAGCCCAGATGCTGCAGAACAGTCCCTGAACACCCTCTGGGGTATGTTCAACACTCTTCTCCCTTTTTCTTCACAAATGGAGTCCAGTGGAAGACATGTCAGTTGCTCCTGTCCAGGCTCCCTTTTACTTCTAGGGCCTCCTGCCCTCGCCTACCATTGGCACCATGTGGAGGAGATGCCATTTTTCTCTGCCCATGGCCCCACCACCTGGGCCCAGCACGTTTTCAAAGCAAGAGGAAAAAACCATACTCTCTGCGACAGCCTTCCCAGGGTTGCCACTTCCCAGCGTCCCTAAAGAGGTGGGCCAGGTGGGGCCCTGTTTAAGACGGAAATGAAGGCTTGGGGAACTGCTAGGGTTTGGGGACAGCTCCTCTGCCCCCATCCATGCCCACTAAGAGTCTATACCAAGGTTGTCTTGGCCTGAGTGACCCACCCCCCATCAATCATCCTGTGTCCCCCTGAAGTGGCAGGTAGCTCAGGCTATAAGATAGGGAGCCCTTTGTTCAAACCTTGACTTTGCCACCTATACTCTGTGGCCTTGACCTATCTGATGGCCACTTCTCTCACCAGTCACCTGGGAATGACAGTGCTTCTCTCCCTCAGTGGAAGCAGATGATTTGTGCTGCAGTGGATAAGCCAGAGCTAGCTCCTCACATGTGCAGAGGAGGGCTGGAGCACAGGAAGCTTGGGCACCTGAGCCAGGGCCAGCCTGGGTTCATCCCACCCTGTTCCCCTGCTTGAGATGCAGCCCACACCTGTCCCAGGAGAGCCCCCCAGGAACCTCCCTCACCTCTGTGAAAACAGGTGTCCAGACAGCAAGCAGGTTTTCATGCCAATAATTTATTGAACGGAGGTCTGTACACAGGCAAACCTTACTGTGGAAACTAAGACATCAGGGGCTCCCCCACTGCCCCTGCCCTCCAGGATGGGGAGAGGAGGGAGGAGGCCTTAGGGGCAGAGGACAGGAGGTGGGGACACAGCTGTTGGAGGGGAAAGGGCCAGTTTGGACGGTGCGAATCGACATTTTCTTTAAGAAAAAAATTATAACAATCTATTTACACCCGGGGGCCAGGGAAGGGAAGAGGAGGAGAAGGGCTGGTCTGGTTCTATTTACAAGGGATACAGGAGGGGAGGGGGGTTGGAGGAGGTGGAGACCTGGGGGGAGGGGAGGGACCTGAGGGGGTAGGAGGTCCTCATGCCGCCCCCCCCCAAATCCCCGGTCCTTCCTTCTCTTCCCTCCCCACAACCAGTTAAAATCCTCTTAAAAAGCCCACCACAGGGGTGAGGCTGGTGAGGGAGGGACTGGAGGTGGGGATAGGGACTCATTTACCTCTGCCCTCTAGTCTAGGGGCCCGGTCAGGGCAGGAGCTTGACAGGTTATGGCCCCCCTTCCCAGCCCCACTGGGGGCTCCCAGATGGAAGGGTAGTTGGTGGCGCCCTCAGGAAGAGTTAGTGAGCGGAGCTGTGGCATCGGTCGACTGCCAGTCCGGGCCGGTCTGAGCCTCACTTAAAGCTGAAGGGGAAGGAAGGAGCAGACAGTTAGCCTTTGCCTTTTAGCCACCACCCACCCCC